ACACCAATATGCCACCAATATGCAGTGCAGCTGCTTTTTTTGGTACCTGGAGATTATAATTGAAGTTTACTGTATGTGAAAATGTCTTACCTAAGTATGAGTTTGTACATATTAATATCTCATGCTGTGTCAATGGTTTTCAACATTAATAAAGATGTATGAAATTTATAGCACTTCTACTGCAAGGTTTGCCTATCCACTTACATTGAAGGCTTTGTGTCCAACAAACTTAGAAAGGCAGACTGTAAAGCTTGCATTGCAGGTTTTCAACTCACCCGTGACAGAAGGTTTACAAGTTGCCAGTGATTAGTAGGTTAGATAGAGGTGGTTTGAAATATCCAACACAAGGTGTTATCAACGTGGTATTCCTATACATATGTGGTAGTAAGCTGCGTAGCTGGGTTTTTTTGGTCACTGGAGATTAAGATTGAAGTTTACTGTATGTGAAAACTTCTTAAATAAGTATGAGTTTGTGCATATTTCTATCTCATGCTGTGTCGATGGTAAATAAAAAGTAATACTGAAAACCAGAAGTTATTTGACAATTTATTTATTTATTTATTTATTAAACTTATATCCCGCCCTACCCCCGTAGGGCTCAGGGCTCAGGGCGGCTAACAGGCAAAAATATGCAACAGTAAAAACAAAGTTCTCAATATTAAAAATAAATATACATTTAAAACAGTTCCAAGTAAAGAATTAGATTCAACTTTAAATTTAAATTTAAAAATACACATGAAAATTCAAAAACTGACAACTCCACAGAGATTATGACGGTCTTGTCCGGGGGGTACCATCATACAACAGACATCCACCACTTTCCCCTATTATATGCTTGTAAATTATACGAAACATACACTCAAATATGCAAGGGAAACTGAACTCAGTAGCACTGTAAGCGAGTGTGAAGTGTCTGGAATACTGCAGTGAAAGAATCAAGAGAATATCTTGTTGGGTACACGAGAAACTGCAAGTTAAAACACTTGTGACAGTAGCTGGAAACTGCAGAGCTCAGGGAATGTTATGCCTACATTTGATGACGTCACGACGTGGTGGAGAGGCTTTCCATATATAGGGGGTAATGGCTGGGTACACTCTTCTCCCCCACCCACTGCCAGCCTGGACACATCTCTCACAGAATAAGCTGCCAAAATTACAACTGCTCTCCAGGAGGGAGGGGAGAGGTGATGGAACGCTGGAGTCAGAGGAACACATAACAGTATGTTGATAGTTGGCTGGGAAGGAGATAGGGTTGCCAACTCCAGGTTGGGGGATTCCTGGATATTTCTGGGGTTGAGCCTGGAGACGGTGGGGTTTGAGGAGGGGTGGGACCTCAGACAGGTATAAGGCCATAGACACCACCTGCCAAACCAGCCATTGACCCCTGGGTAACCACTGCTGCCAATCTCCAGGTGAGGGCTGGAGATCACTCTGCATTACAACTGCTCTTCACATGGCAGAGATCACTACCCCTGGAGAAAATGGTGGACTCTGTCTTTATACCCTGCTGAGGTTGCCACAGCGAGTTGACACTGAGTGCTCAAGGCCACAGTACTCACCCACAGCCTCTTTCTAGAGCTCATTGTATTTATTTCCACAATGAGCCTTATTCCTAGTTGACAATAAAGAAAAACTATACCAGAATTCACAGGTACTTTCCAATGACCACATCACTCTACTTCATTTAGACCCAAAGGGGTTACATTATTTTTACTTCAAGCTCAGTGGATGACCTTGGGCAGGTCACACACAGCCTAACCTACCTCACAGCATTGTTATGAGGATAAAATGGAGGAAAGGAGAAAAGCATAAGCCACTTTGGGTCCCAACTGGGGAGAAAGTAAATGTGTGTGTGTTCTGTCAAGTTGCCTTCAACTTATGGTAACCCTCTGAATTAATGGCCTCCAGAAAGTCCTATCATTAACAGCCTTGCTCAGGTCTTGCAGACTGAGGGCCATGGCTTCCTTTATTTAGTCAATCCATCTCATGCGGTGTCTGCCTCTTTTCCTGCTGCCTTCAACTTTTCCTAGCATTATCATCTTTTCCAGTGAGTCTTGTCTTCCTCTGAGATGGCCAAAGTATCGTAGCCTCAGTTTAGTCATA